GCCGTCCCTCGGGGCCGCCCGGCGCCACGACCCCGGACCAGCCGCCCCCCGCCCCGCAGCCTCGCGCTCATCCCCAGCGCGCCCGCTCCGTCTCCGTCACCTGCCCCCGCCCGGAGCCTCTACCTTGTAGGAGTCGGTGGCCAGGAGGATGTTGAACTCGGCTTCCGCCGCAGCATTCATCTCGGGCCGGAGCATGGGGGCCGCGCGCCGCAGACTGCCCGGCGCGGCTGCGAGCAAAGAGAAATGTGGGCTTCACCGCGCTCCGTTGCTTAAGTCACCGCTCGGTCGGAGGGGGCGGGGGAAACGGAGCGGGGAGGAGGGGCCAGAGGAGGGCGGGCCCGGGAACCGTGACGCGGCCGGGGTGGCGACGACGACGGCGGCTCGCGCGCTCGCAGTCCAGGGACTCGAGCGGCCTCCTGACCCCGGCAGGGACGCGAGGGGCGGGGCGCGGCCGCGCGTGCGTAGCGCAGGGGGCGGGGCTGGGCGGGGAGGACGTGAGGCACGCGCTCTCTGTCGAACACGCCCACTCTGGGAAGCCGGCGGCTGCGGGGCTGTCCCGACCCGTGACCCGAGCGCTAGCCATGGCATCATTTCCCAGCCCGGCGCGGCGGGGCGCGACTGGGAGGGGGCGTTCCCGGCCTCGCCACTCTTGCGATTAGCCGGTTCCCCCGCCCCGCAGGCACCTTCCTGTCCTGCCCAGTCCTGGCCTGTTTTCCCAGTCCTCCTGAAGTCACGCCACCCGGCTGGGGGCCGGGAAACCCCCCGCCCCCGCCCGTCTCCGCGTCGCCGTCGCGCAGCTACTCACCATTGTCTCCTGCTTGGATTAAGGATCGAGCCTTTTGCCTCCATCCCTCTTGTCTTTCCTGATCCTCCTAACCCTGTCTTTAAAATGCGAAGAGCAGCGGTGAGGAATAAGCTCTGGGGCGCCCCTTTAATCTGACGCATCAACTCCGCTTTCTTCCGGTTCCATGGCTGAGCTCCTTGATCCTTTGAGGAATGTTGTGACTTTCCCGGAGAAAATAGCCTGCGCCGAAATGCGGGGGTTGAATTCAGTCCTCGTAGATAATAAGAGGACAAGACCTAATTGAATGTAATATTGCCGAGAAGTAAACGGCAACGGACCCAGTCTGACAGGGTGCAAAACTGACATCATCGTTATAGTCATCAAATCTTGGGAAATGGGTCGGCAACCTCCAAATAGAGAAGCAAGAAACGACGTCGGATGACTTCACCCAAATGCAGACCATCCGTTTGCGCAGTTCTCATACGTGGTTGCACTTTTGCGTAAAACTAGGATTCCCCTTGTCCACATGGTCAATAGCTGCTGCTTTTTTTTTTTTAATTTTAAGATTTAGGTTTTACAAGATACAAATAGGCGGAAAAAAACCCCGGCAGGTTAATGAAGACTCGTACAGAAACTTGATAGACTGTCGTTTGTTAGTGGAAGTCTCATTTTATCAGGGGGTAGTGGGGGGAGGGCTGTGAATTGAGAGAGATTCATCACAAGAAAACTGAGACCTCTTCAATTAAAAGCAGCTTCGGTCCGACTATGTCTTGGAGTTAGTACAGATTCTTGACAGTCGCCTCCATCTGTAGGTAGACTCAGTACAGGCAAAGACCACAGAAGTGGTGAGACAGCTCTAGGCACTCGCCAAGGTAGTAAATAATACCAATACCTTCAGAATTATTTTCAGCAACGAGGTTTAAAACAAGAGTCTTTTTCTGGTTGACCCTCCCAGTGTTTACTGGGGAAAATTACTTTTAAAAAATTTAAGTAATGACATTATTTGAAATTTCTTTATTTTGGGAGATTTTGTTATATTGGTCCAAGCAGGGCAATTCAGAAAGGAAAAGGATCCTTTTTGCCTCTTAATTTTGTGTTTTTTTCTTCATTCATTTAAAATTTCTGTAATGTATTTTACTTAAATGACAAGTTCTTTTTGCTTAGCTTCCTGAGAATCCATGTATGTATAACTGACCATTGTTCTGTGCTGCCCCATGCAAGAAAAAAGAATAGGATTCTGATTACAAAGTGGGCCCTGTTTATGGTAGCATTTTTTTAAAACAGCAAAATAAAATTTGATCTTGCAGTCTTTGAGTTGAATTTGCAGTTTTGAGGTGAAAAAGTTTAATATCAGTGCAAGTAAAAATGTTAATATTACATTGGCATTGCTTGTTAAACGCAGAAACAGTCATAAGGCCTACACATGTTAGTGACTTAAACCCTCACAGTAATCTCCAGAGGAAAAGAGGAAAATGAAGTCATGTTTCCAACAGAAAAATCTCCATTTGCCTAAAATCGAATTAAGCACACTCTGTATGTAGCTACATACTTAAGCAGGACCAGTTTTGTGTTAATCAGTTTTAGAACCATGAAATTATCAGCAAATACAGAGTCAAGGTTTCATTTTGAAATGGCCTCCCTTGAAAGACAATTTAACAGGTAGCATTCAGTATGTTTATCTAGTAGCATGTAAGAGATCTGAGAAACTGTTTCTCAAAGGTCTCCACAACATGACAAATATTGACTAATACAAAGACTCAAATGAGCCTGCTGCCTTTATTCAAAGCCCTGGATTTATCTACCATTCCTTCCAAACAGCCAGTCAAGCAGGGTGCATTGAGCATCCAGCTCCTTGTTCATATCCCTCACGGTGCTAGGAAAGGCCTGCGTGCCACTCATACATTTGATCAGGCAAAGTGGATGTGACTATGAAACACACTGTTTCAGAAAGCCTTTGGTACACTTGTATCTCAGAGTTGCCTCAGATATTGTAATCTGACCTGATTTCACCTCAGTAAAAAAGACAGGAGAAGTAGGTGTGGGACTCACACACCTGCAACTCCCGACAATGGTCCTATCCATCACCCTTCGTAACTTCCTCTAGCCTTACCAAACAGCAACAGCTGTCACCAAGACCAATGTAAAAGAGGAATTTTTAATTAAACTTAGACCTTTTACTTATTCAAGGCTCCATGGCCCTTTAGGGACCTCCCAGAGATCTAATTTCTTATGGAAAAGGCCTCATCTACAGAAAGGCGTAGGTCTTCGTGGATCCCATTACAAGTGCTGCCCACCCCTGAAGCGCTCTTGAATGACTGAGTCTGCTGGGTCCTCTACAATCATGCAGACACACAGAAAACTGCTGAGTCTTAGTGTAACAATAAGGAAGTGATAGAGTAACTGTAACCTACCTAGGTACAGGAAGAATTAACACACCTACGTGGATTGTTCACAGCCGTTCTATTGCAAAATGTTCTTGTACGCTTTCTATGATGTCCTTGTGGTCTGACTGTGTTGCACTCTCCTAACTGACTTTTGCCAGGGCAATGCTGGGTTGATCATCTATCTGACGTAAAACTCTCTTCAAATCTCACATCCAGCAGGGAGTTTTCCCAATCTGTGTATGTTGCATGGCACGTCTCAATTTGCCCATCTTTATTAGTTGTGTTTTTGTTTTCCATTATATTCAAACATAAATTTTTCTAATTCCAACCAAATAAAATGGAAAATAAAGGTAGAAAACAAAAATAAAAGGTTTGCATTCATCTTTAAAAATAAGCTAAGTGTGTATGTACATGTTTTCATGCTATGTGTGGGGATTTGGTTGTCATAATTACTTATAAATTTTGTTGATGACCACATTGTTTAAGATTCAATAGCCAAAATCAATGACTGAGAGGATGAGACTATTAGAACTATAAAAAATTGTCAGGATCTTTTAATGCAATGTTTTCCTAAGTGAGGTTTGCTAATTATTGATGGTATATGAGATGCGTATCAGTGGTACCCAGATAAATATTTTTCCTTTCAATAATTATGTATTTACTTTTAAAGAGTTTTAGAAAAATATAACTAGAACATAAAACTCAGTTTCTCTTGGGAATTATTACTTAGGATGAAGCCAAAATAGGTGGGCACTCAGACTGGTGAACTATTTTCCTTTCCTTCCCTAGCGTATAAGCTGTTTTCATGTCCTCAACATAAGACTGGTTTTCTTGAAGAAGGTAAACAGAAAAGGCTACATACTGTCTGATTTCATTCATATGAAATTCTAGAAAGGTAAAACTATAGTGCAAGAAAGCAGATCAGTGATTGTCAGAGGCTGAGATTAAGGGAAGCAGATTGACTGCAAAGAGGCATAAGAAAACTTCTGGGGGTGATGGAAGTGATATATGTGCTAGTAATTATACACCTGTATATATTTGTCAAAATTTGTTGAATTCTACACTTAAAATTGGTGAATTTTATTGTATGTGAATTATATCTCAATAAAAATGAATAAAAAAAGACTGGGTTTCTTGAAATCAGTTAAAATATTTCCCTCTCTTTTCCTATTGTTTTCTTATGTTTTCATTTGCACGTTTTATTGTTCCTGTCTTTACATGATTTGAGCACCAATTTCCCCTCCTCAGAGGAAGGACAGTTGTTGAGGTTGCTGAACATTAATAGAACCCCAATGTCCAAAGGAGTTTCCTGCTGTTGAGAAGAGAGCAGGAAAAGGAATCATCCCAATATGATTCAGTTCAGTGGGAACATATCAACACCTAGTCCGTACGTAGTACTGTACAAAGAAGCACTGGAGGACTCCAGAAAGAAATGTCGTATTTATCCTCAGTTGTTTTCCAAAGCTGCTAAGAAATCACTGGGAAATGGAGCAGGGGGAGATGAAACAATATAGGCAGTTAATTTATTATCCCCAGTAAATTCAGCATTGGATTGTGAGATCAGTATAAAGTTGCATGTGGATATAACCTTACCTGCTGGGACAACTTCTGAGGAATCATCAAGGCCTGGATAAAGATCAACAAGCCCCCACCCAGTAGCCATGCCCCGGACTTCTTCTATACCAAGAACTACTCCACTTGGGAAACCTTAAAGGGCAGCCTTGCATTCTTTGGTCAGTATCTCCTGCCTTTCTAGTTCACTCACTCTCCTCCTTACCTCTCAAGATTTCTGCTGTTGCCCAGCATTTGCCCATATGCCTTTACTTTCTTCCTTATCTGGACCTAGCCTAGATCCCTTCTTTCATAGTGTCAACATCTTCTCTGGTTCTCTCATCTCCTGGCTGGTCCCCAGATCCTTAGATTTTTTGCTCTTAGAGTATCCAGGCTACTGAGCACTGATAGGAAGCATCACACAGCCATGAATTTGCCACCAAGAACAAGACATACGGTGCTGCCTAGTCAAGCCTTTTATTCCCCGCATTCAGCATTCTTTCCCATTTTGCTCAGCAGTTATTTGAAATGTTTACCACTCTCATCCAACTGCTTACCTCCAAACAACTCCCTCACTC